AAAGGTGAACACGTTTTGGGATTTCCAAGAAGCGGATAGGGAAGGTTATGTGGATTGGGTTTTAAATGGATGAAACTTTTGGTGGGTAAATATGTGGTTTTGAAAGAACAATTTGGTAGTTAAATATGGGTAAAGTTGGTAGTTAAATGTGGGTAGATTTTGGTGGGTAAATATGTAGTTTTGAAAGAACAAGTTGGTAGTTAAAAGTGGGTAATTTTTGGTGGGTAAATATGTGGTTTTGAAAGAACAAGTTGGTAGTTAAATGTGGGTAATTTTTGGTGGGTAAATATGTGGTTTTGAAAGAACAAGTTGGTAGTTAAATGTGTATATCAATGTTAATATCAAATATATATATATATATATATATATATATTTTGAAAATGTTTGTTGATTAAATATGCATTATGGATGAAAATGTTTGATTGTTAAATTTGTAGGTTTGTTGATTAAATAGATAGATTTAAAAAAATGAAAAAGATTTGGTGATTAAAAAAAAATGTAAATCCAAATCCTACAAACCAAACAGAGGAATGGATTTCAAATCAAATCCAAATCCTGCAAACCAAACACAGGAATGGATTTTAAATCCAATCCAATCCAAATCCCATGAAATCCAAATCCCTTCAGGAATCCAAATCCCTCAGAAACATTCCTGCAAACCAAACGCACCCTTAGATATCTTGCAAGCTATTTGAATTATCAACGAAGAACTCATGACCAGAAGTCGTATCTTGAAGAAGATTTTGAAGCTCCAAATCCTCAATCATAATTAGCATAATAAAGTTGTTCCCAGAAACTTTTGATATCTTGAATTGTTCCAGGTGAACTGATATCATAATTATAACCAGTTTCAAGTTTGACTTCTTGTTGTTCATGATAAGATCTAGAACTCATATCAAATATGCATGATGAAGAGGTATGGCCATTTGAGACAGTACTCGAGAAGAAGCAATCAGCAGGCTCAACTGAACTTTCAACAGAACTTTCATCATCGTCCAAATCACTTGATTTTGTGATTTCTTCAGGTTCTGTAATTGACAATGGATAATTTATGCGTTTCTTGAGATGGGTATGCCAATGGTTTTTTATTTCATTATCTGATCTTCCTGGTATCTTTCTTGCAATGGCAGCCCATCCGTCACCAAATTCACATCATCAAATACACATTACTTCTGTGAATATATACGTACATGTTTGTTAGTAATACTGCAGGCTTAAGGTTGCAAAAGTTGTTTCTTTATTATAATTTATAATTAAAGCTAAATATTTTTCATATTATTTTGAATCCAATCAAATCATGTTTAAATTTCAGATATTTAATAGAAGGCATTACCTGTTCCCAAGAACCGAATGGTAATGAAGTATTATCTTTTCTTCTTCATCAGTGAAATTCCCTCGTTTTATTTCCGGATTCAAATAATTCATCCATCTTAACCTGCAACTTTTTCCAGTCCTCGAGAGACCTGTAAAAAACAACAAAGACACAATCATATCAGATAAAACATGATACCAGTTTCTTCAACTTTTGTTGGGGTTTTCAGATCACATTAATTACAACAATATATCGTTATAATCAACTTACCAGCGTATGATGACATCTTACACCAGTTCGAGATACCATATGTACTTATATAATTTACCAGCTTCCGATCTTCTTCTGCACTCCATGAACCTTTTCTCAAACTTGGCCGCAAATCATAACTTGGAGTTCTCATAACTTAGGTTAACCAACAACCAATAAAAAAAACTTCTCTCTAGATATCGATCGTAACGTATGTATATATATATATATATATATATATATAATTTGATGATATCAAAAATATGAAATCTCTTTAGAAGGATTCTCTAAGAACTAGAAACTGGTTTCCTATATATACTTCTTTGTTAAGTCAATGGAAGCTTCCTGCAACAAGGGTTCTTATTTCCTATGTCAATGTTTTCTTGACTTATTCCAATCAGAATTATAATGTTTTAAATAAGGATCAAGAGTCTTACCCGGTAAGTGAGAGCGACGACTCTTACCAGGGTAAACGCTTATCGGCTAAATTGTTGTATACTATGTCGTTTTTGTGGATTAAAATCTTACCCGATAAGTACATAATAATGTTAAATTTTACCGATAAGCACTTACTGGATAAATGTTTGATAAACTGGCATAATCTTTTGAAGTTACATTTTGATATAGTTTGATGATTTATTTTCTTTATTGCCATACTTTAACCGTTGGTGGTTTGGATTTAGTCGACTGTCACAATAACCGCACGTGACTATTGACTTTAGTCACGATGGCAAGTTATGTAATATTTTCAGACCATAGTGGTCCTAAAATTTCCATTAATAAATATATTCAAGATTTTCTATTAATAAATAATCCTCTTTTAATTTATGAAATTTATGTAAGAACGTCATTTTTTATTTAAATTAAATAGATTTTTTTTATCTCTAGTCCAACTACCGATACCGACGGCACTTGCTCACAATATGACGATGACGAGGAACTCGACATTGATGACCTTGATGACCAAGAGGTTATTAGAAGAATTCAAAAGACCGGAACTCTTCAAATCAATCCGACATGGGATACCGATGAAGATTGATGAATAAATGTATTTTCAAATAATTTTATAATAAATTTTCGTAAAACAATGTAATTTTAATTATAATAAAACGTATTTTTAAAGTGTATTTAAGTGACCCGTACGACAAATTTAATAACATAGTAAAAATATATATCATTTAAAAAAAATTTAAAAAAAATAATTATTTTTTATGATTGGGACCGGTATCCCATAACTGGTTATGAAAGAGCTTGACCGGTCATCACATTTTCGACCGGGACCGGTTATGGAAGGACTGGTTATAGCCGGTTACGAAAAGGACAAGGCCCGATTGCCACTACAACAAAATTGGGTTTATAGGGCACCCCCAATCTTTAAGTGTCCCAATAAACCGTTTTATAAGACTTAATTTATAGGACACTTTTGATACAAAGTGTCGTATTAGCAACTTTATAGGACACTTTTGAAAAATTGTCCTATAAACTCAATTTTTAATAGGACAATTGTATTTATAGGACATTTTTCAAATAGTGTCCTATAAAGTTGATAATGAGACGCTTTATATTAAAAGTGTCTTAAAAAACTTATTACGACATCAAAAAAACGTCATATAAACTTAATACAACACTATTAGATAAGACACTTTATTTTTTTGATCCTATAAACTAAGTTCTATAAGGAGGTCAGTTAGAACGCTTAAAATTTGGGAGTGTCCTAATTTTGTTGTAATGTGGGACTGGATTTTGGCCATCACTAATATCTAGAAGGGAGCATGGCCCACCCCTAAACAATATTGATCGCTAAAACTGAACAGATGTATTATTTTACAACTTAAATTACCACGATAATTATTAGTTTGGTGTTTAACTCGTAAAAAAATTAAGGCAGGCCGAAAATTCAGTATATCCTATTTGAAGGAAAAGTTTGGAAAGACTAGATGTACGTAGGCCTTTTGAACGTATCAGGAGGTAGGAAGATTGTTTCAGTAAAAAATTACGTGACTTGCAGTTCAAGTTTTTGAAAGAAATAGTAGCAGCGCAAGTAACGAGTGGTAAAACTAGCAAAAAGAATATGGAAATAGACATCATGCAAAATATGTTTTTGAGATTGTTGCAACTTTGTTATGAATTCAAAATATCGATGTCAACAAATAATACTGAGTTGGATACCACATCACTCGCCACATCAACATGGTAACCGGTTAAGACTTCAACCGGTTATCCGGGTACTTAAATGCTTAAAAATTTACATTTTAGATACCAAAATGGAAATTTTGAAAGTTATTATCCAAAATAAGAATCAAGTTAAAGTGCATTATATTTTCATGCAATTTGAGTTAATTGAGGTTATTAATTAACACGATAACGTTCCATGTTCGTCCAAAACAACAAAAACTTACGGTTTTCAAATTCTTTTATCATCATAATAAAAGTTATCGATAACTCATATTTTAAAGTTTATCACGAGCTTACATCTCTTATTTTCTATGCATATAAGATGTGATGTCATATCCCCACCCACTTAAACGAGCTCAAAAATTCCAATTTTTGATGTCATGTGGACAAATCTAAGGCTCGTTTACTAAACACTCACTTGGTAAGTGCTTACCAGAGAAATTTCCTTATCGGATGAACATGACAAGGGCCAAGAATCTTACCGGGTAAGAGCGATGAGAAGGTGAGTCTTACCCGGTAAGTGAAGATTACGACTCTTACTTAGGGAAGCGCTTACCCGATAAATTGTTGTATTCAATACGTTTTGATGTACTAAAATATTACATTATAGTGTTGACTCCTATAGGTAAGCACTTATAGAATAAACATTTGGATAAACAACCCCTCTCTTTTGAAATAAAATGTTGTAAAACACTTTTTCGAGACTAATTGTGATCAATGAGGTTTGTCCCACTATCTTGATAGTAGAAGGATAAGCTTTGATACTATTTTAAATTGTCTCAAACCCTAAAGCAATAAATTGACTCCATATTTTTTAAATCAACATAAAAATTATTGTTAACTCCTAACTAAAAAGATATATATATATATATATGGTTGGGTTCACGTGAGATCAATGATTTTTCGTAAGACCCGTAAGAGCAATTTATGTTCATTGATCAACTTTATAAGCTAATGATCTAATGGTCTAAAGTTGCACGGTGACAATTTTGTGATTATTGAGAAGTCTCGTGGCAATTTTGTGATTATGAATGTTCATATTGTAGATCTAATCTAAGGTTTGAGAATTGTTCTTACGGGTCTCACGAAAAACTCTTGGTCTCATATGATTCCAGGTATATATATATATATATATATATATATATATATATATGAGCGTTCAAATAAAAACCACTCAATTTGTACAAACCGTGAAAACCACATTCAATCAATCATAATTTTTCATTTTGTTCATTTTTTTTTGTAATTATGAGAGGTTGATCAACCATTTTTATTGTGAAGGGTGTTAATCATGGATATTATCATCTTCATTATTTTAATTTTAGAGAAAGACATGAAACAGTTTCATTAAATATTATATGAAACAATTTCATAACCATATATAAAACAAATTCATCAAAAAAAGTGTTATATGAAACAATTTCACAAGATTAAACAATTTCATGAAAAAAATTCATAAGATTAAACAATAAAATCGACGTATGAAGGTGGTTTGTACAAATGAAGATGGTTTTCATTTGATCGCTCCTATATATATATATATATGTGTGTTTAAAAGGAGGATGGAGACAAATAGAACACCATTGTGGAAGATCTCAACACCATTTATTTATTATTGATTGATGGGGAAATGTGAAAAATGACAATACCTTTCGAAATCTGTATTCAGATTCACATTCCAACGTCTCTTTCCAAAATTGGCAAGTGTTGTAGCCACGATTCTTTATCATAACAACTATTTTTTTTAATTTAACTTAAGGTCGTTGACCAAATACTTATCCGGTAAGCATCTAGCAGTAAAATTTAATACTATCATTTACTTATCGGGTAAAATTTTAGTCAACAAAAAACAGTTTTCTATGCAACGAATTACCCGGTAAGAGCTGACCGTCGTAAGAGTCATTGCCCTCACTTACCGGGTAAGACTCTAGGTCCTTGCCTCGCTTTTACCGGGTAAGATTCATGGTCCTTTCCATGTTCAATAGATAATGTAATGTAACTTGGTAAGCATTTACCCAAGTAAGCATTTGGTAAACGGTCCCTTAGCTTCTTAAGTTAATGTATTACTATCCATAAATCACAAGGATTAAAAGTATTAATGTGTTTCCACCATGGTAATTTAAGTAGAACTAATCTTGATTTCGTTGGAAAAGAAACAAGAACTAAGGGTATTTTAGTAAATTTACTATTTTGTAATAAAAGATGAACAATTTAAGGTATTCAACTTATTATTATTTGTTGAAGCATTAACCGGATACCACATCACTCGTCATATTAATATGGTAACCGAGTACTTAAATGGTTAAAACTTTGCACTTAGGTACCAAAATAGAAGTTTTGAAAGTATGTTAGCTAAAATAAAAATCAAATTAAAGTACGTTACTTTTTCATGCAATTTTCCCCTTCAATAAAATAATGACATGGTTTCGTATGATTAGAAATTTAAGATAACAAATTTTATTATTAATATAGACTGTCTCAAATTCAGTTTGATGTTAATTATAATAAATTAATTATTAAATGTTATAAATGAAATTATTTATATAAGTTTCTCTTATTTTAAATATAAAAAATATAAAATATAATTATGATAATTATTGATAACTAACAGAATTTAATTAAAGAAATTACAACAAACACAAGAACTTTTAAAAAGATTAATTTAATACTGATATCGATATTTTTTTTCAAATTTTTATGATATTTTTAAATTTATATTTTATTCAAAAATATAATTAGGATAATCATTGAATTCTAACAGAGTCATTATCTTTATAAAAAAATTATATTATTAAACCAAATATAAATTATTTCGTTATTGTACATAAATTAAATTACACAAAAAAATGAGGATTTTCAAATAGTTAATTTGATACTAATATCGATATATTTTTGTCAAATTTTTATGATATCTTCAAACATATATTTTATTCAAAAATAAAAACATCATCGCTTTCTTAAAATCACATAAAGTCATAT